GCTCGAATAATTAATTAGCTTATTCTGCATTACTTAGACAGAGTTAAAAACGTCTCGCCGTCTCTAAACTGGCTAAACTGGTAGCGAAGAAATTTTTCATTCGCTGCAACGAAATGTTTGTAAAACAAACACGGCGGCAATTCGGCGAGATAATAAAGTTTTATTTTCATTTCGGGGGCGGGAGGCGAGGGGAGGAGGGGGGGGGGATTTAATTAAATATTCGCTTTCTCGTAGAATTTAATAAAACCTCCTTATCGCGCGCGGCATTCTAGATTCTTTAAAGTCGATTAACTGTACTTCCGACAGCTTCGTAAATGGGAACAATTTAGATGTAATTCGTTATAATACCGAGATAGCCCGATAACGCGATATAATAAAATAATTAGCGTCAAGTCACTTATCATCAATTTTATTGTTAGGAGATTGGATTCGCGAGTGTACGGAGGAACAGGGGTGAATTGGCTTAATCTTTTCAATATTCCCGGACTCGGGCTTATATATATACATATATATATATTCGCGGATTATTAATGTTATAAATAAATGTTAAACCGTAGTTGGAATTTCTCATGAATTCACGCAAACTAGTAGCGGCTGCTCGAATAGCAAGTTTCGCGAAACGGATTCTCGTTGAGTTTGCGCCAACTTTCGATTGGCAGCATCGCGGAGCAAAAATAGAGAATGTAATGTAATCAACTTTGAATTGCGGAGTAAACAATCTCGATAAAATTTTAATTAGAACCGAGCCGAATGGAATAATATAAAAGTATTATTGCAACGCGAATGTCGATTGCGATAATACGTAGGTATAATTATTGGCTAATGCAACCACACAGGTTCCGTTCCAATAATCAACTGTATCGTGCGAATATTGCACCTGCACTAACATTCCTCCGCGTTCGAGATTAGTGTACAAATTTATTAGTCGCAAAATTTATTCGAGCCACCTCGGCGCCACGAAGTGTTGAAAGTGTTGAGAAGCTGCGATTGAGCCGAACAATAATGGAAACATCATTACGCGAGATCGCCGAGTGAAGTCATTAAAATGTCTTTCATAAAGTATTACAATACTTTTTGTCTTTGCACGCGTTTGCGTAACGTGGCGATGAAGACGAGGGCTTTCGGAAAAATTTTACTTCTGGAAATGCACAGTCTTATTCATTAACGCCTGGGCCTGCATTTTTATCATCATTTTTCTCATCTATACAAATCAGCGAGTTTCAGGCTGCGTGTATGTATGGAATAAATTGGCAAAAATTATAAAAATACTTAATTAAAATATATTTATATGAATGTTAGTAATTTCTTTATGAGAAAAGAGGGTTGTTTTAAATACTAAATTATAGATATTAATTACTATTTTAAAAAGAAGCCAATATAATAAGTTTTTAATTAAAAAATGGTTTTATTGAAATTAATACATATTTTTATAACGAGAAGGTACTAAATTTTATATTAATTTTTAGTTTATGCGGGAAACAATACTTTTTTGCAGTGCTTTCTAAAGGTTTCCTGCTTATCTTGTCGTTTTTAATAGAGAAGACGAGTTTTTGCCGGTTTTTTTCCACTGGCACGGACCTTATCAAAAAAATGTGGAATTTTGCCAACCCTGGGTCCAAGCATTAACGAATAAGACTGTACACCGATGTTGCGAGAGAAGAAGAAACGGTGCATTATTTAGAACAGCGTGCCAATATAAATTATTATTACACACGCGCGCGGAAATATTTAATTGGCGCAACTGATTTATCTCGTTGAAAATATATTAATTCGCATCACTGTACCATTCAATTTGGAAAAGTCCCAGTTGCAGTTTGACATTTTCGCAGAAACGGTCGATCGTTACGAAACGGGGGAGGGGGGGGCTGTACAACGAGAGAATTTCGTGAAAATCCCTCTCCCCCCCCCCGCCCGTTGTAAAGTAAAACCGAAAACCGAATTGCCGGCAGCTGTTGGACAAACATTTTGCCTGGACAGTCAAGACGAAGCAAAGTCCCCATCCCAGTCGTGCGCTCATCAATCACGTCAATTACATACGACATGGTCGATTCGCGATAACGCGCGCGCGCACGGGAGAGAATGAAAGGGCGAGATAGACAGACGACGTGCGCGTCTCTTTATATAGAGAGCGCGTTGAAGGGAGAAAAAAGAAGGAGCAAAATAGTTCGCAGTGATATCGCAGCGGGGACGGGACTAGGGATAAAGCGCTACAACGGCGCCGACTCGGGAGATAATGCCCTCTATCGCGTTGTTCGACATAATTATCGGCGAGAGAATGTTCAGCTCCTTTCTGGAGCAATTACGAGGAACAAAGGGGTCAAAAGTAGCAGCCACAATTACAGGTTTCTATCTCCAGCCGTTCCTCCCCGCCCGCTTTCCGCCGCTCTCCAACTGCGGATTATAATCCCGCCCTATTGTTTTTTAAGAAAGTGGCCATTACGAACAATTTCTGTTCCTCGCACGCGAACCCGCGGCAGCGACGACGGAGGGAGACGCCGCGCTACCGGCGCGTCCATAACGTTATTCCCGTCGAACAACAGCCCGCGCGCCCCTCACGCCAGCTAGACCCACCCTCCCGTCAGCGTTTTCTCCTAGTCCATACGCTGCGAATGGGAGAAACAACATTTCTCCTCGCTGTAAATCGAAACCTGTCCCCTCGTCGCGCGCTAAACGCGATATCGATCGTCTTGAGGGAGCGGCGAGGCTTCGCGGGCCTCGAACTCGAGGAGGAATATGCGAAAAAGTTAAGTTTGATAAACAACGAGCCTATCGGCGGAGAAATTTCTCTCTCTCTCTCTCTCTTTTTCGCGCGCGCTTGTAGTTAATAAACAAAAGTAGAGAGGATCAAAGACGGCGTTTCCGAGGGGCGGATACTGATTACAGTCGAGCTGTCCCTTCCGAAATAATCGGCCCTGCAAACAGTGAAAACGACGAGCGAAGGGGTGCGCTTAATTGACGATGTCTCAATGGAACAACAGGGCGCGGAGCGTGACGACCCCAAAAGCCCACCCTAACGTCAGGCGACGAGGGGTTATTCGAACCGGGTCGTGTCCTCTCAGCCATCGAAGTGGCTTTAAGACCGTGCCAATATTTCACAAGTTTCGTTTGCCCGGGCCTCTCGCTTATTCGTTCTCCTCTCCCCTCCTCCTCCTGGGGCGCCCAGCGTGTTTCCGCATATTTGAATAATGCCACTTTCGTGATTCGCGTAATCGTTCGGCTCGATCTCGCGCACGGAAATAGTTACATCGATGCGCGACGTCGCGATCACGATCATTTTACTTCGATCGCATTACGGCCGGCTGAATTAATGGCACGACGCGGCGATACAACAACAACAACGCGCGGTACGCGAGAATATTTGAATTTATATTAGAGCAAGATAAATAACTTGGGTGTACGCGCGCGCGCGCGGGTATTCTCAATGGACAACGAGTCGATATATTCGTCTGCCAAAAGAGCGCACTATGAAATTTCCATAGAGTCATATGTAACGAAATGGCACTGGCGAAATAATAATACGGGACGTGGAAAAATGATCGGGCCGAGGTACAGGGCGGTGCGTTAATTCGCTTCGGGCACCTTTCGCTCCTAGAACTGTCAATTCGCGAAAACATTTGTGTGATATACAAATTATGTAGCTCTTGTGTACAAACCGACAGCGCCCCACTATTCGGACTAAATGAGAGAACAGCATGGTATCATTAAAATTAAGTTTAGAAGCTTAACAAAATATATCTATTCACTCGAATAAGTTATAAGTTAGGTAACCTATTTTGCTAGTTAGGTGTCGGTTTGCACACAAAGGCTACATAATTTGTAGATTACACAAATGTTTTTACGAATTGACAGTTCTAGGAGCGAAAGGTGCCAAAAGTGCAGAGTCACTCCAGCATCCCCTTAAGCCCGTATCAGACTACGGATTGAGATTGGGATTAGATCGAAATTTGACCAATTAGAGTAAAAGTTACTGAACGTGAGATTAGTGCACATTAATAAATTAAAAACATCAGATTGTTGTCTTAACAATCTGGATATTTAGTTCAATGCTTAAAATTAAGATCCACAGCAAATGCAATTGAGTGAATTATTTATGTTTGCGGCAGCCCATGACGTGAACGTTTAATTCAAGTAACTTTATTTTGCTTAATTCAACAGCATTTTTTTCGTGTAAGCTTTACTGCGCTCGGTCAAATTTCACTCTAATCCCAATCTTAATTCGCAGTTTGGTACGGGCTTAAGGCCGGAATTCATAGTCGATTCTTATTTCAAAATCATCTGAAGTGTTGCCTTAAGTGGCTAATACGGCTCTGCGATTGGTCGAAAACACATTAAGAGTATACTTAAGATGATTTTAAGTATAAGAACGGACTAAGAATACCGGCCTAAATATTACCCGGGCCGAATTAACGCACCGTACTGTACGCAAACAACTGCGAACGCGCGCATACACGGGCCCGTTTTATCGACGACAGTCGGCAAGGCAGAAATTAGCGCCCACGCGCGTTAACGGCGGTGAAGGCCTGGTTTACAATGTTGTTCCCTGCGTCTAGAAACATTCTATTTTACGTGAGCAAATAAAACAAATTGTCGGTAAAATGCACGATGTATAACTTATCACAACTTGGATAGAATTTTCGAACGTACGTATCGGCTATAGAAAATAGAATGTTTCTAGACGAGAAGAGCACAGTGTAGCCCGGGCTGAATCGTCGGCCACTTTCACGAGTTCCATTCGAACGAAGAACTCATTTCCGTTTTGAAATTCGTGTCTTGTGAGAGCGACATGAACGCTTGGGAAAACGGCTTGTTATAGTCGCCGAAAGGACGAGACAACTTTTCGGGGAAGCTGCTCAAATGCGAGCTAAGTGATTAGAAGAGACATTTCTGTAAACGGCGCTTTACGTGCGTCCGCATTTCATTTATCCCCGGGGTCTCGTCGAGATTCGTTGACGAGCCTAATCCCTCCGGCTCGTTTAGATTTACTTTTGCGGGATACATACCTCTCCGTGCGTGTCCCTCCTTCCGTCCGGCGTGTTCTCAGGTAGGAAATAGAGCCGCAGGGACGCCAGGGGCTGATTCGGCCCGCGACTGTCCATCCACAGTAGCTGAAGCTCGCCGATGCTGACGAGATCGGCATCGCTCCACAATTTCGTCAGGAAGAAACTGCCGAGACGAAGGACGCGGCCGTTACTTATCCTTACCGCCTTGTAAAACGTGTAAGGGCCGTGGCTGAAGCAAGCACCGCCCAGTAACTGAAAGGAGCAGAGAGGAATTCGTCAGCATTCGTGTTTAAGCCCATTATCTTCCGCCGCGAGCATTCCGATGTACGCCCGGTGAAAAAAAAGAGAGAGAGAGAGAGGAACGAAACAACAGAGGAAAAAGAATAAATTTCTTACACAAAGAAAATACATTCTCTCCATATAATTTCCCGCAACGTCGCTCTTAATAACAACGCTCCCGCGTGCGCATGCCATTTAATAATTATTCTCGTACCGTCATTAATATTATAATTAACATATATTAATATTTAATGAGAAATGCGTTTGAATATTAGAATGTATTATGGTGCAATATTAATCGGATGATAAACAGGCCCGGGGGTATATATCCGTTAAAATACGACGAGTCAATGCGACAAAGAGCATCGAAAATTCGGTTGCGAGGTCAATTTCGAGGGATATTCGATTAAAAGGCCTTTCTTTCCCTTCCTTTCCCCCGATCTCGTTCGGCTCGGCTCTTAAACTGCCACCCCTCCGTGCTGCGCGCGCGAGAAAGAGAGAGAGAGGGAGAATAATTATAATCATTGTTTATTTAACGTTCTAGAACAAGTTCCCTGAAGCGTGTAGACGATATTACAGAAAATTAACAATGCACGTATGAAATATAGAAGGGAAGAATAATAAGGAATTAATGAGTGTACTAGTATAATAACAAAGTAGAAAAAAAAGACTAGTGGAGAAAGAATGAGGACGAAAATTAGAATTATTATTTATTTCTCTCAAACGAATCTCCTGAAGCGTGCAGACAATATTACGAAAAATTAACGATGCACATACGAAATGGGGAGAAGAATAACAAGGAATTAATGAGTGTACTAATATAACAAAGTAAAAAATACTAGTGGAGCGAGAGCGAGATCGAAAACAGAAGCGAGAAAGAGAGAGAGGGGGGGGGGGAGAGAAAGAGAGAGAGAGAACGGTGGAGGAGAAGGGATCGCGGAAAGGCGAGGGTACGGCTCCCCAGAGGGTATTTGCAGCACACCGCGGAGAGCACGGGAGACACGTGCAATCCGCTCGCGCGACACTCGCACGCGTACGCACGCAGCGCACGTGACGCGAGATAAACTCGGACGCGTTCGCCGAGCGGGGAGGAGATCTTCGCGCTGGCGGGCGACAACACCGGCGGGTTTCCGCGGTTGTTCGGAACACGCGTGCCGATTATTAGAGCCGATAGAACGGAACCGATGCGCGGACCGCGTAAATAATAAATGACGAACACGCGCGCGCGCGCGCGCGAAGAATTAATCGACCGCTTCCGGCCGGACCTGTCCGATAGGAACCGACCCTCGACAGGACGGAGGAACGCGACAATTAATTCGCGTTGCTCGCGCGGGGGAGGGGGAAGAAACGACAGAAATGATAAAAGCATAAACGGAGCTTCGAACGGCGAGGTGCGTGACGTCGATTTTACGTCGCTGCGTGTTCTCTCTCTCTCTCTCTCCCCTCTCCCCGTTGCCCCAGAAAAACTATTTATTATTCAATGAGAAAAATGTTTATTATCCGGCTGCTGAAAAAAATTCCGCAAACGAAAGAGCAAACGAACCGTGCACGCGGCGCGTACAGTCCGCCGCATAATTCCCGACGGACGGCTGTCTACTCCCCGGTAGCCCCGGCGACTCGCCACCCCGAGTCCCACGGCGCCTCTTCCCTCCTCGTTAAGATTCGACCGAGCGGAGGAGTATCCACGCCGATTCCGAACGCGGGAGAAAGTCCTGCGAACGGGGTGGGGGGGACGCAGCGTCTTCCGTGCGCGCGCGAGATACGCGTCGTCAATTGCCGGAAATCACTTCGCAATTATCGTGGCCGCCGGCTCGCTTCCGATGCCGAAACCGCGGGGCATTCTAACGGACGGAACGACACGATCGCGCCGCGGGTCTCAATGGACCCACGAGCGAAACGAACGCCGCGTTTCTCTCGCCTCTCCCTTTTCTTTCCTGCTCCCTCGCCACGGTTACGGACGTCGAGAGTGTATCGCGACTCATCGGCGCGGGCACGAGATCGGCCCCCGTCCGCGTAATCGAGAATATACACACTCGGCGCCGCGCGCTCGAACGCCACGAGCCGAAGGGCGGAAAAACACGACGGGCTCTCACACCCACTCCGCGCTCGCAGCGCGGACTGTACGGGCGTCTGCTGCTTTGCAGCGGAGACTTGTCCATTACTCCCTTTGCTTTATTTATCCGGGCGAAATTTCAAATGGATCGGATTTGGACGTAAAAGAGACAGCCGCGCGAAAGATCGATACGCCGAAATATTCTCGCGGGAAAAAAAGAAAAAAAAATACAAATGCCCCACATTTCCGAGCCGGGGTCGATCCTCCCCCCGCGATTTATCGGCTCTGCGTCGTGACGTAACGCGAGATCCGGCTGTTCCGGAGGGCGAGGGGGGAGGGGGGGGGGAAAGCGATGTATCGATTTCGTGGAGAAAGATGATTCCGAAAGGCACGTCTCGAATAACAAAGTCCTTTAATTGCCGACTAAGTGAATCCGATATTGGGTCACGTTCGGTCGCGCGCGCATCGGCCGATCGAGACTCTCGAACGCGGAACCGGCTTCGTCCGGGTCGCGCTCGTTACCGCGCGAGTCGACGAGCGCGCGCGTATAGTAGCGCTCGCGCTGTCAATCGCGCGCTCGCGTTACATAATTGAATCAATAATGGCGATCGCCGGAGCCGCGCGGCTGAGCACCACTGCCATAACTATTTCCAATGTTTTAAGAGTACAGTCTAGGCAAAGAGTTCCGGCCGCCCGCCGCGCGGAGATCGCGGACGGTATTTATAGCGGTTAATCTCGTTGCTCTCCGCCGCCGCGCGCTGCACCGCACGCGAAACTTACCGCCATTGATATCGCGATTGCATCTACGACGCTCTTTTATCTACGCGGGCAAGTGCACTGGCGCGAGACACGGGCGGGTGCGTGCGTGCGTGCGCGCGCGCGCAGGCGCGACGCGCGCGCACGTGGTCGCCGAAAATTTTTCCAATCTCGCTCCGCGCTGCCGTTTATTATTTATCGGAACGTACCAATTACACGCCCCCGATCGGGAGTCGCCAAATATTTTTCACCACGCACGGACGCACAATGGCCGCGCATGCATTATTCATCGGGCGACGTTATGTACGTGCGCTCTTTCCTTCGCAAAAACACTTCCATGTAAATAAATATCTGTCGCGGCGCTGCTCAGCGACGCTCTCCAGCAATTCGCTCGTTGTCAATTATTTCTCGATGCCGGAGGAGCGGGAGAGCGAGAGAGCGAGAGAATCAGAGTCGGAATCATTTATTACACGCTCTTTGAAAATTTTTGTGTATGTAAATTTTGGTGTATGTTACAATACCCACAACTTTTCAATAATTGGAGCACTATTGCAACAGCACATTCCTGAGACCAAATCGAGTAAAAAAAGTCCCGCACTTACTTTTCCCTCCGATAAACCGTTATCGAGATATAATAAGCTAAACATTGAAAAAGTTATAAATTTTCTCTTGAATATCTCAAAGAGTATTGGGCAAATGAAAAAATGTTTCGGACAAAGTTGTTCATATTAATTAGTAGAATAAGATAGTATAATAAACAATAGGGGGGGGTTCCATTTAAAAAACCGCCGCGCGGATTGTTTAAAAATAACGAGAAACGACACACACCGGCGGAACCGGACGTTTACGTCGCGTTAACAAACGGGAATGCGAGCACCCTCCCGTTTCTGCAATTGCCCGTTTGAGGTGTTTGCCCTTGGCAGCGGGACGACGCGGCTGCTAATCGCGCGAGCGAAACAAAGCGAACGGAGAGAGTACACACGCGAGTGCCATCCTCCGCGGCGACGTGCGTAACGCAAATGCTTCGAGAAGCCCACGGCACGCCTGCTTCCGTCCCTCGATTCACGCGGAGCATCGCGTTTCAGTGTCCGTTGGGAATCGAGTAAACGGAGTCTGCCGATATTTAAAAAAAAAAAGAAACGTAAGAAAGTCTGTACGTTGCAACGCGCACGCCAACGAGGTCGCTTCTCGCGCCTGTTTCTCTATTTGATTCCGGTCCCGTTGCTCCGCGTGAACGGAGGGATTATTGATATCGCGCGTAAAAAAAAGAGGTACCGCGTAAACCGAGGGACGAGTGTATACGACGCCAAGAGATAATTGTTATCTTTCCTAATGCATTATCCGTTTCCCCGTCGGGGATACTGCAACATTACGCTTGAAACTTCTGCAGCTTTATATAATGATCGTTGTCTGTTTTCCTTTTGCAATAGAAACGCTCGGAACTCGAGAACGACTGGGGGGAGGGAGGGAAGAGCGCGGGAGACGCGCGGGGGGAGGTCGACGAGAATCGGAAGGAGAGAGAAAGAGAAAGAGAGAGGAAGAGAGGGGAGGGGAACGAAGGGGAGAGAGAGAGAGAAAGAGAGAGAACGCGTAACGTAATATTTTAAGCCCATTGAGTTGCAAAGAGACGCGTGGTGTGAGAATAAAAATGATATTGATATCGATCGAATCCGAATTGACTGGATTCAAGGAGAGTACAAAATGCCGCGTAACACTTTAAGATCGGTAAAATAATAACCTGCGCAGTTCGCGTTCCCTCTCGCGGGGTTTCCGTGCCTTAAGCCCAATCCACAACGTGCTTTAAAGATATTCTAGTCCTGGTCAATAAATGCGTTCAACGAATTTGCGCAAGTTGACAAATACATCGTACAATCGTACTACACTGTCGATCAATTTTTCAGGCGTCGCGATTTGTTTGCTTAAAACAGAACGTTTCCAGGGAGCACGTTGTAGGTTAGGCTTTACGTCTCGCTCGCGTTCGCCCCGGGCCGAGTAAATAAATACAAATGCGCGCGAAAGAAAGATCCGAGGCAACGGGGAAGCTAATCAGGCCCGGTTAATCGAATGAGAACAACGCGAACGTTATATAAATATTCAACGGTCCGTTGATCGCCCGTCGGCGCGGAAGATACGAAAATGCTGAGCATCCTCGGCTGTATCGCAA